TATTATTTTTATATTTTTACTAGTTTTTTTATTAAAGAATAATTAATCAATTAATTTTAAACATTAATCAATAAATCTTTTTCCACTTTTAAGAATTTTTCAATACTTCTTAAAATATTTTCTAATTGCTAAAAAAGTGCCATTTTTCTGCACCTTCTCCACTTTACACTTATATTTTAAGAAAAGTAATAAATATTTTAATATAATTCTTATCATTTCGTTCTTCAGAGATCATACAGATTCATTTCTAAAAGTATCAATTTTTTTAAAAATTAGGCCGCAACGACTTTATTTGAAATATAATGGTCTGACCCAATAATTTAAAAAAACATCTGAAAAGTGAGTTACACTTTCACTGAAACCGAGGGTTTCACCATCTATAGGTCTAAAAATTTTAGTGCTGGAAGGGGACACACAATTTTGCTGTTAAATGTTTTTTAACCCAAGGAGCGAAAGGTCCTAAGCCAAAATTAACAACTGACGCAGTACTGCGCCAGTAATGACAAGTACATTTCTGCAATAGGTAGGGGAGACTAAGGTAAACCCGCTCACTAGCGATTTTACGCTATTACCTCAACTAAAGGGGTTACACCACTTTGACCCGTTCAAAACATAAGCTTTTTCAACAATTTTTATTGAAGAATAGAAATTTTTTTAGGAAAATTAAATTACAGTAGGGTATTGAACTACAAAAAATATATATAAATTTCTTTTTTTTTTAAATTGTCGGTTTGACAGATGATATGTTAAAGTGCTTTAAAAATGTATCGCCATACGGTAGACACTAAAACTCGGTCCAGAATTAAGCTAGACCAAAAAGTAAAAATGCTTTATTTTTTGTAGCTCAAAATCTAGCGAAATACGTATCCGTTTAAAAAAAATTTATTTTTCGCAAAATGGCATCGATTTGAAGGAAAAAGTCCGTATTTTTACCTAAATTTTATAATTTAAAGTTGTCTAGAAAATTTAAATATTAATATTTTGAAAAATCCGTACGTATTTCGCTAAATAATTATATCACAAACAAAATAAAAAAAGAATTAAGAGAATCGATTGAAAATTGTGGCAGCTAGTGTCCACCGATTTTTAAAATACAGTTTTGAGAAAAACGAGTTTAAAGTTTTCATTACAATGTAAACGTTAGCGCGCGACCCTTCCCAGATAACAAAATGCGCGTTGTGTGCTACTAATATCATCTGCACGCGTGCCGATTTATCCGCACTATGCGCGTTCACTGGACCACTCAGATGCGTCATCATATGCGATCCATAACTGTCGCATATTGTGATGGGCACATGCGTGACGGTATAATGCGAATAAATTATATTTATACTTCAGCCTTATTTGAATTAAATAAAAAGAAAAGATTATTGACATTAGTAATTTTTTTTAAATTAAAATGTTATTTATAAAAACGATTTTAATTTAATATTTCAGTACAATTTTGGAATTGAAATTGTTAAAAACTTCCAAATTCTTTTTTTGAGGTTATATCTAATACAACAAAAATATATATGTACTTTAAACAAATTAAATTTAACTTTCTTATTTTGCTGCAGTACTAAAAATTAAATCCACAATAATTCCTCACAATAATATCGCAATAAAAAACAATAAAAAATGAAATCACAATAAAAACTTATTTTGATAACACACCACAAACAATGCTGTCGCCATTATAAAATGTGTGATTGCCGATACGGGTGGTTGCGCATCATTAATTGCGTGCGTATTAAGTGCAGTTCACTGCACACGCATTCACAGCATTCGCACTGTGGATGGTAAAATGCGTATGGATTGACTCTTCTAGCAAGTCGCACTTGTGAACGGAACATGCTTATCATTTTGTATCACAGGCGCTTACGAAATGCAGTTCACAACACTCGCATTATTACCAGCGTCACAGACGATAGTAAGATGCGTATATGAACCGACTCATCTGGTAAGTCGCAGTTAGTGCAAGAAACATGCGTTTAAATGCGACGCACGATTGTTATCTGGGTTCTTGAACAGTTCGAAAATTGTCTTTTTACTTAAGGTACCGATATATAACTAATGACATATCATTTTGGTGTCCACAAAGAGTATTTTAAGCAAATAAATTATGTTTCAATTTTTTGAAAATTTCGAAGTGGTGTAACCCCTTAAGATGGAGGTGTCGGAAAAAAACGTTTTTTGGATTTTTAAGTTTTTTTTTTAATTATTTTTAAGTCTTAATTTATTTGACAAATTTTTTTGGTTGCTATTAGATGTCCTTCTTCGAAGTACATAATTATACAGTACCGTCCGCAATTGTCAGTCCACCCATTTTTAAAGGAATGACAAAAATTTTTTAACATAAAATTCATAAAAACTAAAATTTTTTTTGGTTTATATTTTGAAAGACGATAAAATTTTGAAAAGAATAAGACCTTACAGAAGTCATTTGGCCAAAATTTGTAGAAGATATTCCTAAAAATCGTCATTTTCAATGTTTTACAAAAATTTAAATAACTTCTAAAATAATGACCGCTTTTTAATAATCTTAGGCTTATTTTAAAGGTCTTTTTCTACGGAATAAGAATTACTTATAGGCATTAACCTGTCATTTTTAACTTGGAATAAGCATGACGTCAAAATTAGACAAAAAAATTGGAAAAATTTGAAATCAATTTTTTGTACTAAAAACTATTCTAGAACATATATAAAACATGATATGGTGTAGATTTTTCAAGAAAATTTAATAAAAATATATGTTTGAGTTTCAAAATTTATTTTTCTTTTAATAATATTATTTCAAATTTTTTGAATTTTTTTGTCCAACTTTGACGTCATGCTTACTCCAAGTTAAAAATTACAGGTTAATGCCTATAAGTAATTCTTATTCTGTAGAAAATGGTCTTTAAAATAAGCCTAAGATTATTAAAAAGCGTTCATTATTTTAGAAGTTATTCAAATTTTTGTAAAACATTAAAAATGACGATTTTTAAGAATATCTTCTACAAATTTTGGCCAAATGACTTCTGTAAGGTCTTATTCTTTTTAAAATTTTATCGTCTTTCAAAATATAAACCAAAAGAAATTTTACTTTTTATGAATTTTATGTTAAAAAATTTTTGTCATTCCTTTGAAAATGGGTGGACTGACAATTTCGGACGGTACTGTATAGATTTGTCTCATTTCAAAAAGATTTAATTAAATTTATTCTGAAATGTGAGAAATACACTCGGGGTTGAGTCGCTCACGTGAAGTCGGGGTAAAGCCGCACACTTAGTTTTAAATTTGAAATTTAGAATAAAATAATTTCACGTATTATATTTTAACAATAAAAAAATTTATGACTTGTTAAAACCAAAATTGTAACTACATTTCACTTTCTCTTAATAATATTTAACATGCATAGTTATAATTCATTAAACCTATATTCATCATTTATTAAACCAATTTGTTGTTTATAGAATTGTTTATCGAACTCTGTTACGGCCGAACTCCGTAACTTTTATATTATAAATGATTATTTATAATACTTTAAAAACCAAATTACACACAACACAATATTTTGTTAACACGTCATAAAACGCTTACACAAAATAACCCTATGTAATCTCACAAAAGGACATTCCCTCTTTTGAATATTTTAATCCAGGGCATTTTTAATGACATAGAAATTCTAATTCTATATAAATATAAGATTTAATTGAATTTAACATTCCTTTAGGTTTCGCAATTTCGAGGTGAAAAACCTGACAATATAGTAAAGTGTTTCTTAATGAATTCCTTTTTCTTGAAAAACAGTTTATTGACCCTTTTGAAAATTAGTTAGAAAATATCAAAGTTAAAATGCTCAATATAAGGAGTGGTGCATCCAAGTCACTGAACTCGGATCACACCACTGCTTAAATCTGCAAGGTTGCAGAAATTGACTTGACAACAGTCAAGTACAATGAACTTAACATACGATTTCCCCACTAAATTGTCTTTCAATAAAATTGATTGACACTGGGAAATCTGGGCAGTTTAAGCCAGGCCGTTGTAGCCGGCAGTTAGCCCGGGCAGTTTAGGCCCGCAGTTTTAGTCCAGGCCATTGTAGCCTGAAGTTCTAAGTCCGGCATTTAGCCGTGTTAATCGTATCGAAAGTCTAACGGTTGAATAAAAAGTTTGTTTAAAGAAAGTGAATACAATTGAGAATAATATAAATAAATAAAAGTTAAAGAAGATTGAATTGAAAATATATATATTGAATATAAATAATTAAATTGTGTAATTAAAGGAATCAAAGAAATATAAGAAAAATATTGAAATATAGTGAAAGAAAATAAATAGAGAGAATTTACGTAATAAAAATTAAATATAGGGAATTGAAAAGAAATATTAAAATAAAAGAAGTGAAAATAAATTTAAAGAAATCATAAATTATGTTAAAGAGTAAAAGAATTGAAGTCTCAGCATTGTGCATTATCTAAGGAATATTAAAGTTCATAGTAAAGAGGATAAAAACAAGATTCGTCATTGGATTCGAATTTCGAAGTACAGAATACCAAGTAGTGAGTAAAAACATCTTACATTTTACGACACACACGATTATCTCATTCACACGTTCAGATCCACACGTACTTTTTACACACGTAAAGATTAGTTTTATTTGTATTAGGGACTCATTGGGAAAATATATATCTTATATTGTTTAATCTTATTTTTGCTTATAATTTAATTATTCCTAAAACTATCCTATCTTCTCCAAATTCAAGGGATAGGATTCTCACCCCTTGGTTGAACCAATAACCAAGTAGAGGGAAGAATCCACTACCCTTTACAAATTATTTTGTCCGAAGGACACGTTTAGTTAAAGTTTCTTTAAAAATTTGATATTATTAAATTAATTTATTTAATTTTTTAAATTCGGCTCTAACAAACTCATAGTTTATTAATAATAAATCATACTTAAGACGGGAATAAGACGAATTTTAATATTTTAAAAATAAAATTGTTCCTTCTTGAAAAGATAAAGTGAGCAGATTTACCCTGGAAAATTGTGACTTCGAAAGTTGGTATATGTGTATTAACCCCTTGACTGTCGATGGCAAAGATCTTTGCCATTTCGGACTTTGCTCTGACTGCCGGAAAACTGACAATCTTTGCCATGATCCAATATGGCGCACATTTAAAAAAAAATTGTATTCGCTTGAAACTTGTCACTCGAGGGTTTTTGGAGTCGCTGATAACGAATTCCATGTCAGTTTTTCAAAATTTAAAATGACGGATCCAATATGGCATACCGTGGAGGTGCGCTTTACCTATGAACTTATTGGAGAGGTAAAAATGCGTTAGGACATTTAAATAAAATTTCAATTTTTGCTCTCTTTATAGCTGTTCTATGAAACCGGCATTTGTAAAATTTGTTTTGCTTTTATGATAAATTTTTTTTTTAAATGTCCACCATATTGGATCCGTTATTTTGAATTTTTTAAAACTGACATCGGATTCGTCATCAGCGACCCGAAAACCCCCGAGTGATAATTCACGGTGAGCTTGGATGAAATTCAACCCAAAAGTCATGACCCTTTCTGGTTTATTTTTGATATCATTTAAGTGATGTCTAATAATCATTTTAAGATAAAAATTAAAATAATCGTTGGAGGGAAACTCAAATTATATTGATTTTTTAATTTTTTTTCTAGGTTATTGTACATATTTTCTGAAGGATAATGTTTTAAACAATATTTATTGCTTCAAAAGATATCTTTTAACATTAAAAAACATTCTATTTAGTAAAAACAATATTTTAATATTTATAAAGCTAAAAAATTGTCGAATAAGTCGAAAAAGTGTGAATTTTTTCGTTTTTCTGAAAATTACTCTTTTATAAGTCATTAAACACTACTATTATGCAAATGTAAATTAAAGTACATAAAATTTCCTGGAAAACTAAACAAGAAAAACTATTCTATCTATTGTCGTTACAGAAATATGATGATTTAAAGTTCGTTTTTAATGAAAAAGTAATTGAAATTTGTCATTAAGTCCAGTTTCTTTGGTGAAATCTTTTTTTCTGGACCTTACTTGAAAACCATATAATAATAATTATGTTTAAAAAAGTTTAATTTTAAACAATTTTAAATAAATAAACTTTTTATTGAACTAACAGAAATCATGTTCATTTATTTTAGAAAATTCAACGAAATTCCATTAACGATTTTTAATTTAATAGTATATATATTTAATATATTTAATAGTATATTTATTTAATAGTAGTGTTTAATGACTTATAAAAGAGTAATTTTCAGAAAAACGAAAAAATTCACACTTTTTCGACTTTTTCGACAATTTTTTAGCTTTATAAATATTAAAATATTGTTTTTACTAAATAGAATGTTTTTTAATGTTAAAAGATATCTTTTGAAGCAATAAATATTGTTTAAAACATTATCCTTCAGAAAATATGTACAATAACCTAGAAAAAAAATTAAAAAATCAATATAATTTGAGTTTTCCTCCAACGATTATTTTAATTTTTATCTTAAAATGATTATTAGACATCACTTAAATAATATCAAAAATAAACCAGAAAGGGTCATGACTTTTGGGTTGAATTTCATCCAAGCTCACCGTGAATTGTTAAGCGAAGTAAAAAAGTAAAAGTAATAAAGAATCAAAAACACTTTTTCTTTTTTTAGTATAGGCGCTTACGGGAGAGGGTTAATCAATCTCAAAATCAATTTTCTTATCGAATTTTTTCATAATTTGGGCCGAAGATTTGATGTAGAGGGGGGCCCAAAAGTTATCTTCAACTTGGTAAATAAGAGCCACCCTAATAATTAGGTATAATTATTTACTATTATTTATAATTCATGTGTTTCTATAGTTTTTAAAGTGCTGTCAACATTTATTATTTAGAGCGAGCCTGATGATGATGACGAATCAAGTCATCGAAACGTCGCTTTTTACTTTTGACAATAAATTTTAAAGAATGACATGAGCTTTTAAGTTATCTGACAGCGGAAACGTGAAATAAATAAAACGAATACCAGCACCGCACCTAAAAACTGTAAGAAATTATGTTTCTGCGATAATCATATACGTTATCGTTTGATGTAACGCATTTTTAAGTTCACAAACCAAAAAAGAAGTCGCTCTTACAATGAGTAAAGTGATTCAGAAGTGTTTACAAAAAAATAAAATAAAAAAAATTTAAGTTTTAAAAGGTAACTTATTTTTTTCCTACTACTTTGGACATTGAAATTGATTGTCTTAGTTTAATTAAATGATAATTTTGACTCATAAAAAAATGTTTGTGTCTGCCATAAAAAGTTGCATGTCACCATGAGTGGACCACTGTTTATAACCATGAGTGGACTGCCTGCTTTTTATATTTTTAATGTCAGTTTACCATTTTTATGTAAATAAATTGACAATAAATTGGTTTGAAACTATGTTTTATGTTCTTTATTAATTTTTTTGTGATTTTGATGTGATATGTGCCAAAATTATTAAAAACGGTTTCACTTGTAAACATTGCGACACAAACATTGTTTGAAGCTGCATAAGCATAAATTTTGTTTCAATATATCAGAAATATTAAATACATTAAAAAATTTAGAATAACTTTTACAATTTTTTAAGAGTGGTTCACTCAAGGTTACACTTTTTTCATTCCTTAAAAATTAGCTATTTTTTTAAGTCAATTGTTTTTTCTAAATAAAAAAAATCAAAGCTATTATGGTATAAACACTTATCTAGGGATCTAAACTAAAGCTTGGAATAGAAACCTCCGATTAATTTGCTGTCATAAAGAATTTTTTAGAAACAAAGCTTAGGCGGTCCACTCAAGGTGACATTACCCTAGTATTATGGTTTTTAAGAGTTATAGATATCAAAAATAATATATTAATATTATAACCACAAATAAATTAAACATTTCAGGCAATATTTTTTTTTATCACCGTGATAACATTGACAAATGGTTCACCCTCGACAATTGGTGCGTTTACCCTATTGTTTTGAATTAAAGGAGAATAAATTCTTAAGACATCCCTCGAGGCCAATTTTTGAGTTTTCAATTGGTTATAATTTATATTTTCAATCAAAGTTAACAAATTAACACAATTTTTTAAAAACGGACGTTTATTTTCTTATTCCGTTACTGCACATGCTCAAAATCAGTTCAAATAAATCCAATATTACCAGCAGACAATTATAAACCATATAGTAATTTATTTTAATTGTTATAAACAACATTAATAATTAACAAACAGTTAACTTTGATTCCTCTCCAATAAAAATTTGTTTTTTTACATTTTCTTTTTAATTTTAGTTCATTTGAAAAATATTTTTCCTTTATGATTAAAAAATAACTTATTTAAATTGTTATAAACAATATTAATTAAAAAATAGTTAACTTTGATCCTGTCTGTGGTAATCTGCTATTTGATTTGTGTTTCGATTCTTAATTTATATACACAATAACTATCTAAGGACGGTGCCCTTCGGTCAGCGGTACAACAGAGACTGCCCTATCTTCTATCTGACAATAGCAGGTAGTTGATATAGTTGTAAGAAAAATATAATTTCTACTTTAAATCCGATATTTATGAAAAACAAGATATTTGGTAAATGAATTTTATAACAATTAAATAGTATGACAGACAGAGCCGTTTCTAGGGGGGGCAAGGGGGCGCCTGCCCCGGGCGCCACGATTTTGGGGGCGCTGAAGTTGTAAATACAAAAAGTTTTTAGCGTTATTTTTTTATTTTAAAAATGTAATATTAAAAGAGTAGATTATTTATTTTTTCTATTTCATTAATTTTCTGTCAAAAAATTTTGTGATTTTAAAAAATTTAAAATTAAAATTGTTATGATAGTTCTTGAAAGAACAAATTTTCAAAAATCTGCAATACATGTTTCATATTACCCAAATAAACGTTAGGGGCCGTTCATAAACTACGACACACTATTTTGCATAATTCCCCCCCCCCCTACCCACGTCACAAATTTTACATGCTTTAGCGCCATTTTTTCTACAGAACGTCACAAAAAATGAATTCCACCCCCCTCTAAGGCGTGACGTAGTTTATGGACGGCCCCTTAACATTTGAAGTTTGAATAATTTTTTTTCAAGTTTTTAATAAGGTGAGTATATATTAACATTTTGGGGAGACCGGGGCGTAATGAATCATTTCAATTTATTCAAAAGTGATATGTCATAGTAATTTCAGTCTCCGCTAAAAATAATGTACTTGGTGTACTGTAAGTTTGTACCAAGTTTCATTGTTATTCATTTATTATTGTTGAAAATATGGTAGAAAAAGTTATTTTGACGCTTGAAAGTAAATTTTTAAAGTCTTTATTTTTTTGTTATACCTTTTTCAAAAATAGTTGTAAAAAATGTTTGAAAATCAAGTTATGAGTTTAGAACATTTGTTTTTAAGGAACAATTGACAATTTTTGTCTAATACTTACGGTATTGATAAAAAATAACAAAATATTTAACAAATACCTGCGGGGCGTAATGGATCACTTTGCCCGGGGCGTATTGGCTACTCGTTTATTCTGCTAAGAAAAACCTATTATTTTTAAAATGTTAATAAAATAATCCTGTCAAGTTTAATTTCTTTGAATTTATATATTAATAAGTACAAATGATAACATTTTATGAAAAAAAATTGGAGAATAGATTTTTTTAAATAAATGTAGTTTGTATTTCGATCCAACTTTATAAAATTTGATTATTTCACGAAAATGTTTGAAGTTTAAATTAAATATGTTTCATTTTCAATATTTTTTATTATGAATGTACAGTAGAAACCAAAATTGTGAATATTACACTACCGTCCACGAGTATCAGGACGATTACAAGCGACTCTGTGAAATAATATGCCTTTACTTTTTCAATCATATCTCGGAAATAAAAGGAGGTACAAAAAAACTTAAATACGGTTAGAAAGCTGATTAAATTTTGCGTGAAATAAGATGTCTTTGAAGTCATTTCGTTAACTATTTCTTGAGTTATAGAGTGAGAAAGAAATAAAAAAAATTATCAACTTTTCTCATTTTTGTGTCTTGACTTTAACTTTTTCAAAAATCTAGTAAAATTTAGATAATATTTTTCTGAAAATACAGAAATCTTCGTTAGAGTTTCAGCTTTAAAGTAAGCCTTCGAAAATTA